TGCCATTTTATTCAAACCATGCATGATCGGTTGTGACAATCATATCCAGGGATACCGTGTCGTCTGTTGGCGTGGCCCGTGAGAAGCCACTTCCTCTGACAGCATCTGCAGACCATGTCTGTATCTTCCGTCATGCTCTGGCGTTGGATGAATGCCGCGTCAAGTTTCTCCCTGAGTATGTCGAGGGGGGAAGTTCAATTCGTGGGACCGGAAACATCGAAAGGCAGTCATCCTCCGAACATCCGACCTCGAGATCTGCAGTGGCGCAGAATCAAAGAGACGTCAAGGAGGTGTGGTTCGCGGGTACTCATTCCGACATGTAAGTACACGATCCTGCCGTCATCGACATTGCTTCATTCTATTGCTGGTAGCGGGGGCGGACTCAAAGACAATCGCAAGCTCAATCTATCATCGGTTCCTCTTCTCTGGATGGAAAATGAAGCCACATATGCCGGCCTACGCCTCCGAACCCGCGAAACTGGTGGAGGTTGGAATTGGGATATCCTTCGTAACGACAAGCCATCTGACTCTATGAGTCGTGCTTGGTCTGTGTTCGAAAAAGTTCCCGTCAAGCGGCTATCGTATAAGAATGCTGATGAATTCACTTGGTAAGACGATCTGTGCCCTGATCAGCGTGCCGTTCGAGGCTCATTCGGATTTTTTCGCTGGCAGGGTCCCGCATCTTGGAGCAGGTCGTGTCATTGTTCCTGGACAGCTGATTCATGCTTCTGTTGCCTTCAAGGACAAATCATATCGCCCTCAAGCGACTTTCCTGAGCCAGGAGAAGTGCGTTGACTGGGCATCATTTGTCGGGAAAGATATCTCGACTGAAACTCTGGATTGGGCCGCGGAATGGCCGGAGCAAGTCGAAATGGACCTCTTCGACCAGTCGTTCACGGCTGAAGCAATTAAGAAACTGAAAGCTGTGTGGGCCTCGGGTGAAATCAAACAGTCGGAGGAGGAGCATTGGATCAACCGGTTGTCGTTCATCGCACTTTCCGGGGAATTGGCAGCGAGCCATCTCCGCAGTCTGCAGCAACCGGACCCGGAGGACACCGAGCGAAACATCAGCGATGCGCTCACCTTCTTCCGCAAGCTTCAGGATAAACAGCGCGAAATTTTCGATGGGGATATAGCGGAATTGCTTGAAAGCCACGCCACTGCGCTAGACATTCTTGGGCGGAAGCTTGAGGCCATGATGGCTGGGGAAGAGGCCGCCGCCATCCGACTCAGGCTATCTCGCGACCTCCCTTTGACGTCGAAAAAGGACGAGAAACTCGCTCATTCCTGGGAAGCTCTGGCAACAATCTGGCGTGGAATACCATCAGCGACTGCGACACCGCCAACGCGGGCGCTGGAGTTTATCAAAAAAGCTGTGGCGCTCCGACGGGATCTTTCATGTCGTCAATCCTTCCCTCCACAAACTCGAGATAACTTCAATTTGTCGTTATCTCGGTCACTGGCCGACCACGGTTATATTTTATATGACCTGGGACAATATGCCGATGCGTGTGACAAAGCGGAAGAGGGATTGAAACTTCAGCAGGGCCTCCACCACATTGATCCCGTCGACCTGGCAGACACACTGTACAGTCTCGCCATCCTGAAAAGGGCCGCTGGAAAAACTGATGAAGCTATTAAAGTCGGAGAGGAAGCGGCAGAGTTGCGCCGGGCGCTTCTGGAAGATGGACACGAGAGTGCGAAGGCGGATCTGGCCAACTCACTTCACAACCTTGGGTATTATCTCAGCGAGGTTGGAAAGCATACAGCGGCCCTCAAAGCCACTAATGAAGCAATCAAGTTGCGGCGACAACTGGCGCTGGTTGACCCATCGATGAAGAGCCAACTCGCGTCCTCCCTAGCCAACTTGACATTCGACCTGCGAGAGCTGGGGGAGAATCGAGCCGCGCTGGCAGTGGATGAGGAGGCCATGAAGATTCGACAAGTTCTTTCGGCAGCAGACCCGACGGACCGAGCTCTCAAGAAACTCGTTGCGCAATCCTTCCAGGATATCGCTGCAGATTTCAGAAACCTCAAACAGCATTCTGACGCTATGGACCCCCAGGCACAGGCGATAGCCCTCTATCGCGAACTAGCCACAGTGGACCCTAAAGTCAAGAAAGAACTCGCGGAATCGCTTCTTGATCTCGCTATCGATCAAAGCAACTTGAAGTTGCACCAGCAAGCAGTGGAGTTTGATGAAGAAGCGATTGAACTGCGTCGGGAGCTAGCGACCGCAGATCAGGATCTCCAACGAGACGTTGTCATTGCGCTGGGGAACCTAGGGTTCCATCTCAGAGCTGCCGGGCGGCCAGCCGATGCCCTCTCCGTGGACAACGAATCTGTGGAGATACTGCGAAATCTCGCATTGACAACGTCCGACCCGGCCATTCAGACGGATCTCGCCAATGCGCTCGATTGCCTAGCGATTGATTTCAGAGCTGCTGATCTTCCTGATGATTCCCTGAGAGTTCACGAGGAAGAGGTCAGACTCAGACGGTCTGCACTGTTGCCCGGGCCTGATCAGGACTCCGTGAAGAGGCCGCCAGTGTTGAAATGTAAACAGACACTCGCTAACGCACTCCACAACCTCGCATTTGATTTGGGCAAGGCTGGACGGATAGAAGAAGGCCTCAAAGCTTACCGGGAAGCAATTGAGATCCGAAACGACCTTGTAGCGGACGACCATACGGTCAAACAGGGTCTCGCCCTTTCCTACCACAACTCGGGAGTCGATTGCCGAACCCTCGGACGACATGTTGAAGCATTGAATGCCGACGAAAATGCAGTCCAACTCCGACGTGATATTTCGAGAGCGGATCCAGCTGCGCGTGCAGTTCTCGCTATATCACTTACTGCCCTGGCGGAGGATCTTAGTAATTTCAAACGGCACAACGAGGCGGTGAAAGCGGTTGAAGAAGCTGCTGCTCTGCGGAAAGTCCTTGCAGACGAAGACCCTTCACACACACAGGACCTTCTTAACTCGCTCGTGAACCTGACGTTTCGCCTGAGGGATGCAGGGCGACGTGAAGATGCCGTGGATAACGATGAGCACACTGTGAAACTCCTGCGCGACCTCGTCGCCTCCGACCCAACGAAAGAAGCAGATCTTGCCGCTTCGCTCACAACTTGGGCGACCGATCTCAGCGCCATCGGACTAAATCGAGAGGCTTTGGAAGTCGAGGATGAGGCGATATTAATGCTCCGCACCCTGGCGAAGAAGGATCCTATTAAATTCAGCACGACGCTTACGAGTTGTTTGAACAACTCCTCGTGGCGACACGCTGCGCTGGGCGATACCCCGACAGCTGTCCACATCGCTGGCGAAGCAGTCGAGGTGGAACGTGAACGCTCTAAGAACACCCCTGCCCCATCCGATTCAGACTTAGCCATCGCGCTTAACACCTATGCTCATCACCTCTCGTGCTCTAACCGCTTGCAAGATGGACTGAAGGCCATTGAAGAGGCCGTAGAGATACTGAGAACGCTCTTTGCGGTGGATCCTGACAAATTCGGACACACGCTCTCGAATGTCTTGGATACGTACGCCGTCCTGCAGTCTGAGGCGGGGAGACACAGGGAGGGCCTCGCTGCGGTTGACGAGGCGGAGCGACTCTTGGCGGAAAAAGAGGCGCCATCGCTCACGCGGTCGACGCGTGCAGTATATTGTGCTGCTCGCTCCAAGTGTTTATTTGGCATGGGCCTTGAGTCCTTCGATAAGGCTATTGACTCTGTCTTCAAGTTCCTGGAGCTCAGTCGGGACGTGGCGACAACGGATCCCAATACCGTGGATGCTGACAACTTTGGGGCGTCAGTCGACATGATTCTTAAGGTACTCACAGGGATAGATCAACCCGACACAGTCCTCAACGCGATGGTCGATATAATTTCTGTATGCCGCATTTTGGCACGATTTTTGCCAGCATGGTTCAACAATACCCTGAAGAAATCCTTGACTGTCTATGCCGACACTCTTTCTCGGCTCGGGCGCGCGGATGAGGCTGTCGTAATTGAACGGGAGGCCACCGAAATCCAGGTGGATTTTGATGTCGACGCGTAGCCGTTGGTGCAAGTTTTGTGCGTTTGATTTCACTTGCATTGCCCTGAGTACGAATGGTTGATGTTTAAATTTCAGATCCCCGCCATTGATACGTCTCCGAATCCTACGTACGCGAATTAACTTTGCATTCCATCGGGCCTCATTATCATTATCTATCAATGCCATGCGATGCGACATATGTACGTGAGACACGCAATGTGGTCGTGTTTGGCCCACCGGAACGCGTGAAGTGAGCACGTGATGGTGTTCTGTTCAGAGTCTCTACGCGTGCCGAAGGAAAAGCGGGATACGATAACGAGGCTACACTCGATGTCCCAAAGAAGGTGCCCGTATGATGAGGCCTCTACACCGCATAGACGTGCTGGATGAGTGACTGAGACGCGATGTACTTGGAATGTTCGGCTGATCTCATGCTGTTAGTGATTATGATTCCCGGACGTGAGGGCGGGATTGGCTCCTGAGGGAGAGGAACATGATACTTTGACGTTGTCGAATTAATATTAATGGTGGATCGGGAGACATGGATCTATAGGCATATGGTTAGCGCAGGGTGATGAGGATAAGTGGGGGAAGAAATACGGCATATAAATGAGGACAAATGTTGAGAAAACTCCGCGCGAGTGCTACCACTCACTGCCACCAAACAGCACCCACCCCGTGAGGAAGCGGTGTACCGTACACCATATCCAAGCTCTTCATCTGCGAACTTGACCAAGTAAGTCAGCATTTATCGCAGCGCTTTCAAAAAAGTCGTTATTGCCCAACTATTCGGGCACGGGGAGTCGAACCCCGATCTGCTTCGTGCAACATCGCGGGCTGGACCTACCTAACACCAGAGGCCGTGTATTATACACCATGCCCGATTCTTTCTATACCTGCTGAGTCGGATAGGCGAGCGACAGTTCACAACGCATTCAAAAAGTACCCGAGAAGCATGATATTCGGACACGGGGAGTCGAACCCCGAGCTGCCTCAGGTCACATCTTTGAAGGGTTTACAAGAGAGAGGCCGTGTACCATACACCACGTCCGATGCGTTCTGGACCTGCGGAGGTGTGTAGGTGAGCGATATTTTGCAGCGCGTATCCAAGCCCAAGACCCAAAAGGTCGAAAGGAAGGCCTATTATTTGGACACGGGGAGTCGAACCCCGAGCTACCTCATCTTTTCGCGAACGCCAGAAGAATAGAGGTGGCGGTGTACTGTACACCATATCCGATGATTTGTATATCTGCTGAGGTGGATGAGTGAGCGATATTTCGCAGTGGGTTTAAAAAATGCATGCTAACATGGTATTCGGACACGGGGAGTCGAACCCCGAGCTGCCTCAGCTCACATCTTTGAAGGGTTTACAAGAGAGAGGCCGTGTACTGTAGACTATGTCCGATGATTTGTACCTCTGCGAACTTGGTTAGGTGAGCTAGCAAAATTCTGCAGCACATTCAAAAAAGAGGTGATGGACTTTGTATTCGTACACGGAGAGTCAAACCCCGAGCCGCCTCGCGCCACTTTCTGCATGCAGCTGAAGGAGAGGAGGCGGTGTACCGTACACCATGTCCGATTCTTTCTGGGCCTGCGAAGTTGGTTAGGTGAGTGATATTTCGGCGGGAGTCCAAAAAGTGTAAGGACGGATCAATTTCGGACCCCGAGCTACCTCAGGTCACCAAAGTGAAAGCTTTCGAAAGGAGGAAGGCTGAGTACCGTACACCACGTCCGATAATGGGTATACCTGCGCAGTTGGATAGGTGAGCAGTATTTTCGCCGTGGAGTCAAAAAGGTGCTAGAAAGAGTAGGTATTCGGACACGGGGAGTCGAACCCCGATCTGTCTCATAATCTTCTGCAAGACAAGTTGGCTAAGAAGAGAGGTGAGCAACATTTTGCAGCGCTTTCAAAAAGAGTTTATGGACTTTGTATTCGGACACGGGGAGTCGAACCCCGGGCAGTCTCGCACGCGTTGTGGAAGCAAGACAAGAGAGGAGGCGGTGTACCGTACACCATGCCCGATTCTTTCTGTACATGCTGACTTGAGTACGTTAGCGATATTTCGAAGTGGGGTCAAAAAGTGGGGTCAAAAAGAAAGTACTTCAAAGAAATCGTATTCGGACACAGGGAGTCGAACCCTGAGCAGCCTCGCGCAACGTCTATGGCGAAACTAAGAGAGGAGGCGGTGTACCGTACACCACATCCGATGTTTTCTGCACCCGCGAAGCCGGGTAGGTTAGGTGCGCATTTTTTTGGAGGAACGCAGGTGTCGGTAAAGGCGGATTTTATCGCTGTAAGTTGAAGTTGGGACCGGCTCAAGCCGAAGGCTGTGCAATGTTGTGGTATGCTTACATCCAGCCTCGACGCTCGTCTGAACATCTAATTCGCGATGCCTGCTCTAGACAACGATGGGATATCTGGGCTACACGAGCCTTCGACCACCTCCGCTCAACGCCGCCGCAAGCCTGCCCTTTCAGGCTGCTTGCGTGTAGATCTCTGAAAAACTTGAATCGCTTCCGCACGCTATGAAGCGCCTTTGCTGCACCTGCACTCGACGTCGCCACGATCCACGCTGGCAGCCGTACGCCTTCTCCCCGCTGCTGCAGATACGCGCCCCGCCTCCCCCCGCTGCGTCGCGCACCCACGTTGCGGGCTATGATCTATGCCATGCACAAGTCTAGTACGGTGTGCCATCCTCTCCCCAGCCTTCTCGCTCCTTCCGCTGATCCCCATCGTTCAGATCGCATACTCGCGGGGGCGATGCGCGACACGTACCCGGGGACGTATCCGACGACCAGGTGGCGGCTGCGGGCGACGCGGCAGCGGTGGATACGTGTCCGCCTCCCGCGCGGCTCGCTGGCGCGGGGAGAACGACTCGGACGTGGCTCCTGTGGCGTATGGTACCGTGCGGCGCATACGAGGAGCTCAGTGCACGGACGGTATACCGCATACCGCGCGCAGGAGGCCAGAGGTGCACTGCGCGCTGGACGTCTGCACCTGGACGTGGATGCGCGCGCGGGGCGGATGGGGCGGTGATACGTCGGTGTATGCCCTGTACCCTCTCGCGTATCGCTGCCCCAGCTGATCGGTGTCGATTATTAGGGCTTGATATTCGCGCCCGCTGTGTCTGCGCCCCGCCCCGCAGGCGATGGCGCGCTACCCTGTGGCGCACGCTTGGAGCTCTGCGCGCGGAGGAGGAGCAGCTAGCCGATATACCATCCGTGCGACGGCGCGACGGGCGCGTGGCTGGCCCTGGATGCAGGCGCAGGGAGCGGATGGGGCGGTGTGTATCTGCCTGCGCACGTCCTGGGCCCAGCTGATTTGGGTGTCAGTGGGGTAGGGCTTGATACTCGCGCTCCGCCTGCAGGGAGGGCTCGCTACCTCGGCGCACACGTGGAGCTCAGCGCGCGGCAAGAATGGCTCGGACGCACCTGCACCTGGATGCATGCAACGCGTCTCGCCCTGGACGTGGATGCACTCGCAGGGCGGATGCGACTGGTCTGACGGTGCATGTGTACCCTCCAGCGCGCCGCTGCCCCCGGCTGATCGCTGTCGAGGCGGTAGGGCTTGATATTCGCGCCCCGCCTGCAGGGGAGGGCTCGACGCCCTCGACGCACGGTACCCTCGGCGCACGCGTGGAGCTCAGCGCGCGGAGGGGCCGGCGGCAGTGAAGCTGGTACGCCGTATAGTGTCTGTCGTCTGAATCCTCCGCCGGCGGTGCTCGTGCTAGTGCGGAGGCGCGTCTCAGTGCTCGGACGGCAGCGGGTGGTGTGGGTGAAGGTGAAGGATGGGTGCGGTGAGGGGTAGGGACGCCGACGGGGTCTCATACACTTGTGCTCTCCCCCGAGTCTGCACACGCATACGAGGAGCATCTTCCCTGTTCGTGTGTCGCGGAGCTGGGGGGCGGGCGGGCGAGGGTCGTATGGCGGGCGAGGGTGGGGCGAAGGACAGGGCGTGGATGGTGGATGGGCTGCTTCGGCGGGGGGAGCCGTGTCCGTCACTCGTCTTGCATTTCCGCGTTCGGCGGTCGGACGAGTCTCGACACGCAGGGTGTATCGCCATCTTTACCCGTCTGTCCTCCGCTCTATAGCGCCATCTTGCATCGTCCGCGTTATCCGCTTCCGCTGCAATGCGCTCCACCTCCCTCGCGCGTCGAGGATAGTGGGTGAGGGCGAGACGCCGGTGAAGGAGGGGGCGGAGGCCCGGGTTCGAGCACACGAGGAGCTTCTTCGTCCCTTGCGGACGCGGACGCGGGCGGCGTGAAGAGGAGGAAGAGCACCCGCCCGACGTACCGACACACCTCCGTTTCGGCCCCTGCATCCGCGGTGGGTGTGTTGGAGATGGAGCTTGAGACGAGGAAGGACCATACGCCGACGTACATCCGTGACGCACCGACTTCGTCGCTGTTCCTCCATCTTGCGCTCTACGCCGCCTTTCATCGTCCACTGTGATGCGCTCCTCGTGCTCCGGGGACCGCTGCGTCACCTGCGCCGGACGCAGCGAGCGTAGGGGATGACGAGGAGCTCGCGCGGCAGGAGCTGCGGCTTATCCACGACGATAAGGCTCCGCGTAGGCTGCGGGGAAGACATAACGGCGCTTTAAGTCTAACTCCGCGCAAGCGGGCCGGTCTGTGCGCGAGGGTATGACATCGCCGCACGCGTCGGCTTCGCGCGTCGGGTCGAGATGACCTCCGTATTCAAAGCGGAGGGCCCTCCCTCGTTATCGGGGAAAGCTGGAAGCTGCCCTGCTTATGTATCCTCCGAGGCGTCGTGGCCACGGCTAAGTACACTATCATAACTCTTCAGTGAGCGTGCAGGGCTGAACGAGTCGCGGGCTCCAAGTGGCAAGTCCAAGTCCCGATAGCTGTCCTGATGTTTATAAATACCAACGCTCAGGCTCCGACGTTGCCGCACATGGATTTACTGCACTTTCCTTTTTTTTGGAGGCAAATCTAGTCATCCATGTTGTGAAACAGGCGAACACCCGGTCCTCACCGGATGGTATTACTCTCCATAGGTGACTACAACCATCCCGCCTCCCGTTGCATGATACTTTATCTGTCAGAATTAATTACTATCCGCTCCGAACGAACCCCATTTACTCCTCAGGTGCTACAGTACCTGCGGGAAGCCTGATGCCCTATTGGTGGAACCTTCACGACGATATTCTTGTCTTATTCTTCCCGTTTCCCTCATCGTGCTTGCTGTGAAGGTTCCCGTCCTTCAATGACGGAAATCCGGAACTGCTAGTATGATTTTTACCTCAAATCAAACTTTGCGTGTGGGATGAATCTCATAGGCCCTCCTAATATCCTGCCTGACGGCGCTATTTCTGTGCCTCCGCCCTGCTACATACCCGGGAAGGTCATGGATTTCGTGCACTTTTCTCAAGACTCGGCTCGATGCGGTAAGAAATTTTTATCGACCAATTGAACATCTATCTTCCTCCCTTCCTGCCTTCATCTGATATATTAGATTCTTCGCATGTGTGCGGCCGTAAGGAAGGATGGAAAGGAGGGTTTGGCATCTAACCAGTATATAACTGGGGCTCAGCGGGCAACATTCCTTCACCGACAACCCACCGCATCCAGCTTTTAAGACTCATTCCCACGATCTCCATGTCGCACAACCAGACCCCCAGCCAATTCGCTTCGGAGCTCTTCGAGCGCCTCCTCTTCCAAGGGGACGGATCGCAGGTCGTCTCGATATTCGAGAAGGACATCGCAGCCGATGCGAAGATTAAGTACGCCGCGCACCTCACATCTTACCGGAGTCCAGGACTGAGCCTATGCTTAACAGTATCAATGGACAGGGCATGTCCCCCGCACAGTTCCTTGATTCCATCAAGGAATTCCACAACACAGCAGTCGCAACGCTGACCGCGCCGATGGAAGACCTGGCGGTGGTGCCTTTGGACACGGCGGGACACTCGGCGGTGCTCAGCCGTGTCCTTAAAACAAAGCACACGAGCAAGACGGACGGGAAAGTGTTCAACCAAGTTGGGGTCACCATTATCAAGGTCAAGGAGAATGGCGGGAAGAAGGTCGTTACCA